CTTCTGCAAAAGTTTTATCCCGTTCAAGTTCAATTACTCAAGATTTATATATTCAGCTGCGCATTTCTACAACATTAATCTTTCGCCGACGAGTAATATTACTACAACGGTGATAAATCTTCCCAAGTGTTTTCAATCTAGTGGCCTTTATAGTACTCATCAGTAGTGATGTTTAATAGCAGGAGTTATATATTACATTCACACTGACCGTTTTAAATTAATCGTCATCGGGAAACTAGTAGTAAATTTGTAAAACAGTAAAAAGATAGTGAAGAGTGAGCTAAAATTGTGCTTCAATCAAAGAATATATGATTTTAAATCTTTCTGTGGGTTTCAATCCAATTTTGCATGTGAATACAGGAAAAATAACAATGCTATCGTTATCAAAGGTGGTATAATGTTTTGCCATTATAGATTTTTGTAGGTAATTACAAAACATTTCAAATATCCCTTAGCCTTGGAAACAGACCCTAAAATTGATAATTATATTCGTGTATAACCCTGTGAATAGATTATTCCATATATTAGTTCAGTGTTTTACTGAAATATGTAGGTGTATTTGTCCTGTTTAGAGGAACTAGCGTAGTATTTTGTTATTATCGACTCTATGAATAATAAAATAGTTTTTGTTTTAGTTTGTATTTACTAAAACACTGCATACCTGCATTCATTACGAGAGCCAACTTGCATATTTATACAACAGCGAGTTGCACGTGGGTTGTCCAACCCGTAATTACATCTCAACGGCTGTAAAGATTGTCTTATTGCCGTGAAATTCACCAGTCAGCGCCATATGTTTATGGATGTTGGCTGGATACATTTACAATAACTTAATAATAACTTCGCTGTCTCCAGCCATTTCGTATACTCTTGGATGAATGAAACCTTTGGACAATTAATTGAGTGTTGATAAAAGTAAAATAAACAGCTGTTGGGAAATAACCACCAAATGGAGGACTACTTTTATACTGAACACATTTAAAATGTTCTTAGGATGCGTACGATGGAACTTAATGCAAAAATTATGATAGGTGATTTATGATTGTAGTTGCAATATAAAAACGTGTTTCCTACAACATTCGGTAGCCAAATATTTAACTAAGGACACCATGTGATCCGAGTTATCTAAAAGATACCTGGATGTCCAATCGACATCAGTCCCCCCGTACCTACAACAGTTATGTATACCATCTCTTTACGGTATACATATGAATATAGCATTTAATCGTGTTTAGACCTTTTCCATTTACAATCAGTAATAAAACACGTGTTATACTGATACAGGTTGATTTGCAGTAATTTATATAGACGATCAATGTGTATCAATGTTTATGGGACCCAAGATACCACGATTAAAACTTGTTTTTTCCTGTCAAACCTTCAGCGTAGAGTTACATCACGGAGAAGTGAAGCTACTTCTGCGGTTACAGCCAGGTCTAGAATTGCGACCGCTACAAAAACTTGAGCAAAACAACTGCCAAGGATGATATGTTTGTCTATAGAGGTTCTAAAGGTGTCAGTAACATAGGCTTTGCTGGATCACCTAGTCACGCATAGTGCAATTGATTAGGTTTTGTATAATGAGAGTACTTTGACGTTTGTGAATGAGTGGTTAGGCACTTGTAAAAGAGTAAAAGATCCTCTCCAGAAAAATGTTGAGCATCTTGGTAACATTCATTCTGTTGTTTTATTTGCTGACAAGTTAGTAAAATGTTGAGGGAAAATAACATAGAGTACATGTTAATATCCTCATACTACCTTTCAAATCATGAACTGAAGGAAAACCCATAAATTAGAATACGTTTACTCCGGCCTATTTTTACCGTAAAAAAGATATCTTCTCCAAAATCAAATTCAATGACAATTTTATCATTAGACATTTGATACTATATAATCAATGATAGCATACTTAAACATAGTACGAATATAAAATGTTAGAAATGCCACTGTAGAAAACCATATATTGATGAAATAGTAGTAATTTACCCCAATTCTCAGACATTTTGTTTAAAAATATGAGAAAAATCTATGTACTTGTACCCACATACAAAATTTATTAGTTTCCGTGATCATGTCAACTATACTTATGTAAATATTTTCTAACAGATATACCACTGGAATTAAATTTTCCCTGGTATTTTCAGTAAAAGTTTACAAACAAAAGAATCCGACAAAAAAAAATGTAATTCCTACAAAACTAAAAATTTATCATTAGCATAACTAACGATGACGCATAACAATCATTCTCACTGCACATACACATGAAAGGTAAATAAATGAAAACATTACACGTTAAACACAATCCCATGCAAACCACGCCCTACATCACTGTCTACATCATAGTCTATAACGGTGTCACACATTCATCTGTCCAGTATATCAATGCACACATGCATATGAATATTTATTGCACTATAACGAGTGTTCTCAGTCTAGCCGCTCCTCGCAGTAAAGTGTTTGTACTCATTAACACGTTTTACACGTTTAACACCTTCGTGTGAAACCGCGGCGTGGAGATGTGTGGGCACGTGCGTGAAACCGGCGCTATTGTTGTGGAATGTGGATAAAGTTGTGTTTTGCGAGGCTTGTGGATTTCTAGAAAGTCCTAGAACTGTGGGAGTGTATGGAAGTGAAATAATTTTGAATTCCAGCTTTGGTGATTAAATCTTTGGACGTCCATAAAAGTTTTGTGAAGTAGGTATAATGAATTAAGTTTAAACTATGTTTGATTGTTTTATTAACAACAATGAATTGTGGTCAAAATCATTGAAGTGTAAAATTGACCAAAAAAGGCATTCTTACGGGTCTGAAGTACAATTTTTGTTAACAAATGGCCATTACAATATGGAACTAGGGTAAATATTTGTTTCACAAACGTTTTTACGGGCTATAGAACGGGTTATTTTAAGAAATTGGACCTTAACAGTACCAAAAATGCCTTTAAATAAAAAAAAAACGTTTTTTCGACATTCATACCGAATATCCCTACTAATGTAGGCCTGCTATAAATTGTGCTTTATCACCGGGGCCATGTTAATAATTTTACTTCAATACGTACTTGTTCATACGTTCAATACGTAGGCCTACTCGTAATTTTACTCGTTCAGTAGAAATCGAATCAGAAATGAGCCTCTTCCATAACTGACAATATTACAAAAAGAGTAAACCCTACTTAACTCAACAGCATCTTCAGCTATATAATTTAAGAAATGTTTGAGATTGGGGATATTTATAGCTTTATTAGTAAAATAATTATATTGATATTTCAGTAACATACAGTATATTAAACGAGGAAACACCTACTTATACACTGTTTCATATTTATTTTTCATTAAAATTGTTATTTCTTCTTGATTTGACCTACACGGTGAGATATAAGTACTGTTAGCTAACTAAATTACACGTCAACAATAGAAAATCTTGTTCTATGCACAACAAATATGTGGAAACAAACTTCCAACAAGTTAAAATTACGCACAATTACCTTGTTTACAGATATTTTGAAGATCGTCGCTGCTGAGTGACTAGTTACACCAAACAACAATGTTTCAATCCCTAAAAATAAGTGACTAGTTAGGATAGATAGTTGAAATCCTTCAACATTTGATCTACTTTGTATTACTTTTAATTCAGGAATAGTATCAAAAGACATTTTGAATTCAAAACTTTATTTTCATCTTTCTCAATGGTCACCATCAAAGTTATAGGATTGCATACCAAGATGGAAATAAATTATCACATTGTGTAAAAACTAAATCGATTGACATTTCAAACGTCCTTACCGTTCATCAATTTGTTTTTCCTATTACCAAAAACGAAAATTGTACAAAAACTTTTGGAGTTGTAGACACTTCTAAAATTCGCCGACTCACCATACTGCACGATAAACCAGTTATAATCCTCGGAGGAAGGTCCGAGAGAGAATTGAAAGGCGCTTCCGTGGCGGCTAATATCTTAATGGCGGGGCGGGTCCGACTTTATGGCGTCTTTATGGCGTTGGTGGCCGAGCGCCCGCGGTACCGTAGTGTAGTAATCCTCATATCAGCCTGGTAAACCATATGATTAAATAATATCTAGCTCTGCCTCTAGCACCGAGATAAGACCAGAAGTAGACACCGGTCGTAACTGTAACTGTGAAACCTATCTTTAGCTAACTGATTCCAGTCTATTTTTGGATCTGGATTAGTTATAACGGTGAACGATGAGAGATAGTATTTTGATTTTTGGCTGTCGTCAAGATTTTTACTGTTTATTGCTGTAATGTAATTTTGTCGAAAGGTGACATTTCAACGTCATTATTGTTCGCTCACTTACCTTTTTTGACCTTGTGGAAAACATTCTTTGTGCCATCAGGAGTAACTGATGTTTACACAGAACTGCGTATAATCTGTTTGATAGGTAAATAAGGCAATAACCGAGTCCAGAATAGTTACTTTAAACTTAGTTTCAAAGATGTCAGTCAAAGATGACTAAAGATTTCGTGACCTAAACCATTAACTAGCAAATTTTATAAGTGTTTATAGTGGATGAGATGTTCACTGATAATTCTTAACCTTATCCTTTTCCGTGTTTATAGATGTAAATAATTCGTTTAAAAAAATTAGGTATTTCCTAATCTTACTTCAACTGATATATTTTTTTCAGTTATAGGTTTATAGTAATGTAAAACAGGTTAATCTAAGGATTCATTAGAACTCTATCTTCGTTTGATCTAATAGCTCACCAATATATGGCTGACTATTAAAGTAGTTAGTAAAGTAGTTTGTTGTTGTTGTAGTAAATGACATGCTAGTGGAGTGTTAACAATCTCTTACTTTAATGTGATACAGGATCAAACTCAGTCCATCCATCCACAAATATTTCAAGCGTTTCATATTTTTTCCCTGAATGTCTGTTGACATTCCTTTTCAAACGGAATACACACACACCAAACCGCTGAATAATCTAATCTGTTTTCACCACAACAACCCAACCACCACTAACGCCATCTCTTTTTACAGGGCAGTTTCGGTCGCCCCGCATCACCGAGCACCCCTCAGACATCATAGTGCCCAAGAACGACCCTGTGACGCTCAACTGCAAGGCGGAGGGCAAGCCGGAGCCTTCCATCGAGTGGTGGAAGGACGGTCAGCTGTTGGACACGGACACCAAGAGCCACAGGGTCATCCTGCCCGCGGGCTCGCTGTTCTTCCTGAGGGTCGTCCACGGCAAGAAGGAACAGGATGGCGGAGTGTACTGGTGCGTCGCGAGGAACGTCGCCGGCTCTGCTACCAGTAGAAACGCCACGTTGCTTGTAGCAGGTTAGTTCTTTTATTTTAGTCTCTTTAACCGTGTACGTATTTTTAGCTAATACTTTGGTAGGTTTATTAGTATGTTTTACGTATAACGTAGTTCGCCATACGTATTTTTGATAAATGTAGGTTGAGTGTAGAATGGAGTGAGATGACTCGTTCAGTGTTGTTGAATATAGGCTTGTACTTTTGTCACGACCACTTTTAAAAGCTGCTTTTAAAAGTTTAAAAGCTCAACAATCAAAGACAACTTGGTTCAGCTTCGAGCCATTTAAAAGCTAATGACTTTTCTCAGGATCAAACTGGTGTTCTATTTACGAAGCAAGCATTTTCGGTTGAGGGTTCGACGATACACCTTTAACTATGTAAGGTTTCTCTCGAATCATTATGTTGGTCGAAATTTCAGCTAATGCATAACACCCTAAGGAGCTATTACTCATCTAACCGTCCATCAGCTAAATATGTTTCAATGAAGTGAATAGTAGAGCTTGTTTTAGCATCAGTGTATCCTCATAAACTATTCAAATTGTTTTAAGTACATACCCACTCATTACCACCATATAAGTATACATATTACTGGGAGATTTTTGTAAACAGAGATAAATCTATCAATATTACTTACTTTAGAACTAGAAATGTACTGTAATGAGTCAATAAATCTAAGCCAAACCCGCAAGTGTTTGTAACCTTAAATTACACAATTATTTTTATTATACTACTCATTTTTGGAAATTTTCTAGTACACTTTTTTTGAAAACTTATTTCTTACATATATTTTTCATAGGCTGCCTCAAATACCTAAGCCCGTGTTTTGAAAAAGCAATATGGGAGTGCCCCAAAGTATGAAAAGTGCATTTATCAATTCAGTCCTAAAATAAAATAAAAGGACGGACTCTATTTTCCTCTAGGCAAAAAGAGCTTAACCCATTGAACAATTGCTAGCAAACGTTTGCTCGAAAGCTCCTTAGAGAGGATCCACATAAGAGCCGGTGGACACCTAAAGCGATTACCCGGTAAGTAGGCTACATGCGGTGAACAGCTTTTCCGGCTCATTCGTGTCTCAGTTAGGTAACTGGAGACATGCTAAACATTTAGCATATTTCCACATTATATTTAGAACAATTTTACTATTCGGATTGCTATTTTTCTAAATTTCGGGTAACAAATACAGAGTACTCTAAGGATCGTTGTCTTTGTTATAAACAATGGTTTGTAATATTTCAGACCTATCTCGCAACCAATTCTAATTCAAAAATTAAAACAATACTATGTTGTTAAACTATAATTTCTAATCTTTCATATCGCTGCTACGCTTTAGAGCATTAAAGTAGTCGAAAAGAGTTCAAGTACTTTCTATTTAGAATATATGATTTACTAAAATCAAGTAGATAAACATATTTCCATACCAAATTAAAGAATAATCTTAATTAAATGTTATATTTCCATATTTTTACAAGCAAGATTTCAAATTATGTTATAAAATACCTAATTTCCGTTGTCTTTTTGGATTCCATAGTTCACTTCTTATTCAAGTTTTATCACGTGTCAATTATTTATGTTTGAGAGAAGTTAGAATTTTACTTTCTATTTCAATTTAAAACATCTTACATTCCTCATATTTGGCCACGGTCAACTGTTTTGTAGACTTTCAACTGCGCACAATATTATTGCCGATACGTGTGGATGATACTAAAGAGTAACTACATTTTATTTATAATTTTTTAAGCATTCTTTATAACTTAGTAATTCTACACTTAATGGGCGTTAGAATTATACACGTTAGAATTTCTCATGAAAACTATTTTCTCGACATCTCCCAGAGGAATCCTCAGATCCGGAGATCAAATATACCCGCCTGCACATCAGTCAGTCAGCTGTGATGGAAGGATGGGCGGCAGATATAAAAATAACGACGGCTTCAACATTCCCGCTGGACAGGTGAGCCGCCACTGGAAACCGCGCCAAAACCACCGCCTCAATAAACAGCTGACTGGCGACTGGCGGGAAACATGACATAACGCGGCAATGTAGATTACTGCCTCGAGAGGATAATTAGATGTGCGGCTGAATTAATTAAATGTTTACCGTGTCTGCATACAAAGACAGGCGGAATAAGTCAAGTGTCTAAAGGCTAGCCAAAAGACGAAGGCGAAGACAATAGCCCGGCATATCGGGGTTAGGCGCTACTTTATGGTGCTAATGACACCAACTAGTTGATTGTTTCTGGAGGGAGTGGGATGAGTGATGGCGATATATCAGCTGCGTTATACGGTGCAACGGTAAGAAAGTCAAATCCGGTTAAGAGTCTCTTCAATTTTAAGATTTAACGTTTTTATCTTTGTTGGTTAAGATGAATACAAACAAAATATAGTGATGATTTTGGATTTTTATGGTCGTTTTTGCCCGGTAGGGACATCATAAGGACAATACCTAACGCCAAGACTGCCAAATTTGTTCCTAAAAAAACTAAGTAATGGGAAGAGCAGCAAATTATTTTTTATTTTTTTTTATAGAGGGCCAGATTGTGCACCCTTATTTGTAGGTCCTCATTCTCCGTCAAATCCCAGATCCTTTGTGAACCATGACCCTTTGACTATGGTGACATGTTCTTCCCTAGTTCTCCAGTCGATAGACCAAGGGATCTCATGTGCAGACCTTGTAGGGCTGGGCACATAAGAGCAGCATATAGGTGATACATTTAAAATGTGGCTCCTTCTAATGTAATGTTTCGAGTTGTTTCATGCCATCTGGAAAACTCATATCAAAACAGTAAACGTAAAATTGAAAAATGTACAACTGATTTTTTTACATATACCATTAAGGAACGTCCGAAAATATCAAAGACAAATTATGTTTGAATGAAGCTCAAAATTAATTTGGCAACAAAAAGTCAATGATATGATTTACAACAAACTTAAACATCCTCAAATACACTTATGCATAAAAACACAAATTATTGCGACAGCTGATTTACAAAACAGCTGCTCTATAATCAGCTCAAACTACAGACGGTTCTATAACTTATGAATGCCGGAGTTTGGAGGTTAAAAAACCTACAGGTACAAATCAAAACTGGATCGGTGAAAAACGCGGGCGTTAGGCGCAGCTATCAGTTACCGTTTGGCGGGACCATCAATCGTACCCTCACACATACACACTCACGCACGCACACCCTCGCTACCAGAACAGTAGTAGACAGATGACCCACCTCTGGTATAATCAGCCGGGTCGCTGATTGTGGCCGGAATCCTAATGGAGACTTCACCTTCCCACTGGATAATTACTTGCGCTTTGAGAGGTGAAAAATAGCCGCGAACTGGAACACTAACTACAGCCTTGAAGGCGCGGAGGCGTCATGTAAAGCTTTGGCTGATTCACTAGTTAGAGAGTGTTGTGTTTATGTTTCAGAGTTTGAAATAGTTTCATGATTTTAGGAAGTGAAGCACGATGGTAAAAATAGCTGTATTTATTTTATGATTTTCAATATTTATTTGTCCTATATTAGCACTCCAGTAAAATTTACATTGATTTGACAAGTTTTGGGGTAGACTTTATGTTTTTTGGGTGTTAAATCTCATTGTGAGGCGTGGAAAACAAAATGTAGGATAAAAGGGGCATCGACATTTGATTCGACAAACAAGAAAATATTTCAAATATTGAACTTTTAATTCTAGTTTGAAGAATAATATCTGCAAACATTTTTACAAATACATAAGAGACTACCCTATATAATACTAATAATACTAATAAATAAGTACTACTCAATTTTGTTAAAAATAATTTAGATAATTAATATATAAACTCTATCTAAATTTGGCTTAACATTTAATTTATGTAATGCCAAGGTTTTGAAAAGAGTTTATAATCATTTTCATCAGTTCTGTAAAAGTATAATAGGCCTAATTTAAAATTAGTTTTGTTATCTTGTAGGTTCAATAACGAAATCAATTTTCAAACTTTGACACCAAGTTTCATATGGTACACGTTTGATACAGATATTTAAGGTTCTCGATTGATACGCAAATTTATTTATATCGACTTCCAAAGTACAGCATTTCATACTACAAAATTATGAATTTTGTTACTATGTCTTTATTAAGTATACAGTTCCCCTTGTCTTTAGCGACCTAACAGGTCGATTATACACTTTGACTCTGGCGATGTCTACATTTTACACAATCATTTTTAATTTGTGATAGGTGAAACTTGAACCTGAGGTTCCAGTACAGAAGTACCGTGTACCAACGACCAACCTTGCCCACAAAGAACCACATACATACACAAATACACAATTTTCAAACGACCACGAGTCTTAAACAAATTGAAAAAATATTTAAAATACACATTCCCAATATCCAGGGACAACCTCAAACTGTCACACCTCGTCACTAAACCGGTCAGACATACGAAGCGACCAGAACCTTGGACTGGACGTGGGACGCACAGACTCCCACACTTCAGATAAGCTCAAATAATGTGTAACCTTATCACCGCATAACACCATCACTTCAGGGATTAGTCAAGTTATATATGGTAATACGCGGCGCGTGGACGTGTTAAACATTTAAATGAGCCACATAAACGGAATTAGTCACCATTCACATCACAGCTTCCTCTTTAAACTATTCGGTTTCATATCTGCAGGTGGACAGATCCGGCCGTATAAAAAACCGGTGTAAATTTATATTGGTTATAGGTCGGGTATTATTTTGTTTACGATGGGATAGATTATACATTTTGGGCGTCGTTGTGGTTGTATTTTTGTGGTAGTGTATGCTGTAGGTTTTACTAATTGTGGATGAAAAATTGGTGAAGACATCCAACAAAAATTGGCGTAATTTAAACTTCATAAATCACAAAGTGACTTCAACTTCAACTCCTAAAATACTTAATGTGACTTCTAAAAATCATTTGACAATATAGATCTACCCTAGTGTTAGCCGCGAAAGGTGAAAGTGTGCACTTTACTTTTTTTACAATGAAGTTAATCTAGAAGAAATGAATAGGCC